TATGTATTTGTTATGACCCTTACACTGGAGGATGAAACTGGGTCACTTAATGCTTATTTGTGGAGGCATGCAGTAAGTACAATTATTTATTATTAGTGTATTGTATATGCTCAGTTAAATAGGCAATAGAAGCATTTTTCGTAGTGTCCATTTTGTACTGAACTTTTTTTTTAAGTGAACAAAGCTGTGAACCCAATATTATATATATTGTTATTAATTTTCTTTTAATTAGACATTTCTTGCACTCTGGTGTAGATATTAATATCTATATAATATACCATATTTTTCGCTCCATAAGACGCACTTCTTTCCCCCCAAAAGGAGGGCGAAAATGTGCCTGCGTCTTATGGAGCGAATCCCGACGCCCGAGACATGCAGTTTCGGGCGCAGGGCGAGTAGTAGGAGCCACTGCTCGTTTAATACGAGTGATCTATGGTCCGGTGCGTCTTATGGACCGCAAAATACGGTATATCAAGTTACCTCTTTTGTGTTGTCTTAAAGTGTATGTGTAGCCAAAACGTTTTGTTTTGCCCAGTGCGGGTAAAGTTGGCCATACACTGTTATATTTTTTTTCATTCAACTTGCAGGCTGAACAAAAAAATATAACAGTCGTAATATGAATATCCCACTGGGCCATTGTATTCTGACAGTGGCAGACGTGCCACTGTCGGAATACCCGAACACTGTTCGCCTGAAAATTTTCCATTTAGCACCTTCTGTTTTCTGATCGAAGGATGCCGCGCGGGAGGGTGCCGACAGGGCTACTAAACAAATTGTGTCCTGTTCATTAAGAACCAGCTGACATTCCTACAGTGTATGACCAGCTTTACTATTAGAACCCCTGTTACCTTTTTATTGTTATCTGTGTCCTTTTCCATCGCTAATTGTCCCAGTGACCATTTTCCTTTTCACCGAAACAAAAAGTAATGGGAAATCCAAAATTGTACAGTTGTCACTAGAACAAAACGTAAGGCCCATTTCAGACAACAACAGATCCTCTACTGATCACAGTTGC